CTCTCGACTCATGCAGGTGCTCCTCTTCTTGATGCTAATGAGTACCGCCAAGCTTTAGGTGGACTTCAATACTTGCTCCTCACACGACCGGATATAGCTTATGTCGTCAATAAGTTGTCCCACATGAATCGTCCAACCGAAGAGCATTGGAAAGCCGTCAAACGGATTTTCCGATACATAGCCGGCACATCCTCTCACGGTATACACTTTACCACTAAGTCACCATTTGCTTTGCATGCCTTTTCGGACGCCGATTGGGGAGGTGACAAAGATGATTACACATTCACCGGCGCATACATCGTTTACTTGGGCAACAATCCAATCTCTTGGAACTCCAAAAAGCAGCGTTTCGCCGCCATATCTTCAACGGAAGCTGAATATAAAGCTGTCTCTACGATGGTCTCTGAGGTACGGTGGTTGACTTCATTGCTTTTTGAGCTTGACATTGCGGTGCCAACAACACCGGTCATTTATTGTGATAACATCGGCGCAACATACTTAGCGGCCAACCCCGTGTTCCATTCAAGAATGAAACATATAGCCATTGATTATCACTTCATTCGGGGACTAATCCAAGATCACAAGCTGCGAGTTACCCACGTTTCGTCTAAGGACCAGCTCACCGATGATCTCACGAAAGCCTTACCTCGATCTCGGTTTGAAGCCATGCGTCTCAAGATTGGTGTCTCTACTGACACGCATCTTACGGGGGCGTAATGGAAGGAAATATATGATATGCACAAAATCTGGATTTAAGAGATTATCTACGTTATTGTAATCTTTTGTAATTGATCTATTCTTTATTCTCTTCCTTAGATGTAACAATTGTTTGCTGTATATATCTATCGTCTGTAACATATTCAGATTCAATAAGAAAGTATTTCCCTTCACTGGATTGGTTCATTGTTTAGTCGTATCAATGAACTGTTGTAGAGCCCATCATACGTATGTATATTATTATATACACAATACACTAATAAACATATATCCGTACGCACACTGGCATACGGGCATATATACACACACATACGTATCATATGCGGGACCCACCAAAGAATTGAAGGTAGGGTGTAATTTGATTTCAATAATTAAACGTGCCTTGCTAGATTGACCTACCCGTTGTTGCACATACATACACACATATGTAATGTATATATAGATAAAGAAATTACAAAGACCTTTTTGCATATTCACATAGACGAATGCACAGTCACACACACACACACATACATATATACATGTATATATTCACATATCTTTGTGTGTAGATATATATATACCTATAAACATATGTTTTGTGTATGTATACATATATATATATATACAGTCGTAATAATGCGAGTGGGGTTGTTTCCATATTTGGATGGTGGAGACACTCGAATCCGGACGATGATATTTATGTCTACCAAATTGGAATACCCAGTCATTTCCGTGGGGTCGCTAAACGGTGCGTTTTGGGAAACGGTCCATTGAGACATCTTGTCCGGCATATGCAATTAATCGATTCTTCTTTCTTTTTCTTTTTTTTGGAACCATCGATCTAATATGTCCGGTCCGGTGGTCACTTTAATCAGATACGTACGAATCCGGAACGCAAAAGGCCGCCCTATTTCGTATACGTAGCTATTCATGCATGTTTGCATACATACATATATTATATGCAATCATTTCTCGTGCTCATTGGGATTAGAGACCTTTTTGCTCCTTAAATTCCACGCCTTGGACTGTGAAATTTCAAGGTTCCGTCTAGGGATGGGCAAAAATACCCGGAAATCGGATATCCGTCTTGACCCAAAGGATGGATATCCGAAAATCGGATACCCGATATGTTATGAGATAGAGATCGGGTTTTAAAATCTCTAAAATCCAAAATTCGGGTTCGGATTCGAGTTTACATTTTCGGATCGGATAATTATCTGTGGATACTCGAATAATAAAAAATAAATATTATTTATTTAAAAATTTTAAAAATAATAAAAATAATTATCAATTATCTTGAATTTTTATATTTACATATATATATATAAACTATTATTTTATTATCTAATCATTTTAAATATAAATATTTTTCATTAATTTTATGAATTATTTCTATAAAATTTATTAAATTTATTATTTTTTTAAAAAAATAATTAAAAAAATTTGGGTTCGGATATCCGCGGATACCCGAAAATTATCTCACGATTAATACACTTCAGATACCCGAAAATTCGGATTCGAATTCGGTTTTTAAAATATATTATCCTTCGGATTCGTATTCGGATACTCTAAAAATTCTGGATACCCGAGTCCATCTCTAGATCTGTCCGAAACCAATTTTTTTTTTTTAAAAAAAAACAAAGAAAATAGACGTCGTATTAAATGGAAATATTCGATTGGTGAATGGTCTGAAATTAGGAAAATAATAATTGCAGACTAAAAATACTAATAAAAACAAATATAGTGAGGGGGCCCACTCATATAGGCCTTTAAGCGAAATAGTTAAAACGTGTGGGTAGGGGCCCACTCATATAGGCCCACGTGATCTCTACCCTTCATTCTTCTTCTTCTTCTCCTTCCGTCCTTCCTCAGATCTCTGTCACAAAAACTTTTTTTCTCTTTTTCTTTGCTTGGAGGAAAAAAAAAACTAATAAAAAAAAGTCCACGCTCTTTCTCTTCCTCTCTTTCAAAACCCAAAACACCCAAACCATCGGATCCGATGAAATCTCCCAACGGGTCGGTCCGTCCACGCTAATTCGATTAATCTCCCAAAGAAATCAAAACCCTAGTTTTTGTCTGTCACTCATAACATCTTCCATGGACTCCACCGCTTCCACGTCACACCGACTCGACTTGGCCACCGGAGACGACCCGGGTCCATCTTCATCCTCCCCAGCCGCAAACGCGAACGCAGCTTCGTCGTCATCGCAGCCGCCGAGCCGGTACGAGTCGCAGAAGCGGCGCGATTGGAACACGTTTCTGCAGTATCTGAAGAACCACAAGCCGCCGCTAACGCTGTCGCGGTGCAGCGGAGCGCACGTGATCGAGTTCATGAAGTACCTAGACCAGTTCGGGAAGACCAAAGTCCACTCGACGTCCTGTCCGTACTTCGGACACCCGAATCCTCCGGCTCAGTGCGCGTGTCCGCTTAAACAAGCGTGGGGAAGCCTCGACGCGCTAATCGGACGGCTGAGAGCGGCCTATGAGGAAACCGGTGGACAGCCAGATTCGAATCCGTTCGCCGCACGCGCCGTCAGGATTTACCTCAGGGAGGTGAGGGAGGCGCAGGCTAAGGCACGTGGGATTCCGTACGAGAAGAAGAAACGAAAACGACATCCTCCTCCTCCTCCTTCTGTTACGGCGTCAGCCGCCGTTAACGTAACGGTGGGTCCGCCGGCCCGCG